ATGAAATTGTAATTCTAACAAGAGAATACTAATATCCATACCTAAAGAATTGTAACTCTAGGTTTTGTTATTATGAAAATTATTTATTGAGATAGTGGACAACATTATGAAACATAACTATGTGATGTAGTGGAAGAGAAAGAATGGCAAGTGGAGAAACATATTGGTGTTACACATGTAGACAACCAATCCAGGTTGTAGAGAGGGATGCTATTTGCCCTTATTGTAATGAAGGCTTGTTGCAACAATCTAATGAGCTACTAAGTGCGACAGAATCAAGAAATGCACCTAGAGATGTTGTTGGTAACTTTATAAGTCACCTACAGAGGGGAATATATTTAGATTTTGGTCATGGATGTATTCTCTTTGTTCGACTACCAAGGCATCTTCGTACTTCAGCTTTTAATGCTACCTCAAGGGGTGACCTCATCGAACAACACAACAGAAATAGAGTGTCACAATCATGCATTGATGCAATACCACTTATTAAGATCACACAATCTGATTCACAGTGTCCTATTTGCTTGGAAGAATTTGAAGTGGGTCGTGAGGCCAAAAAAATGCCATGTGACCACATTTATCATTCACATTGTATTGGTCAATGGTTACTCCGTAATAACTCATGTCCTGTTTGTCGTTTTCGGCTTTCACCTCATTCTCAACAACATGCTAATATCGAGAATCATACCTCTAGACAGATCACAAATTCTCAACAACATGCTAATATCGAGAATCATACCTCTAGACAGATCACAAATGGAAGGAGGAAAAATCTAATAATCTCATTTGTTAAATTTTCTTTTTTGTTAATGACGCCGTTTGTTTATAGTCTTTTTCGTAGATGAGACTTAGAATCTACTCTTCTATAACTTAAGTGAGTTTCAATATTTTATTTCTTTCAATGAATGTTTGTAATTTAAATGATATCAAAATAGTTTCTACTTTCAAGTTTATCTCATAGATATTTAGATCATAGAATGTGATTCATATATATTTTATTTTGAATTAATTTTGATATAATTTTCTATTTAGTTTTATTTATTCACGTATTATCGTATGCGGGGTAGAAGATGTGACAATCATCAACCCTTTCAACACCTATATATTAAACATGAACCTTTTTCTTGCATGAGAGGTTTTTTTAGAAATTTTTCTTCAATAAAAGAGTTTTTTAAGATTCTTTTAACTAATTATATAATCCATTTTTATTTATCATAAGTATTTATCAATTAAAGTTAAAAATTAGGAAAACCCTAGTTTCCTACACTTTGAAGTGTGCAATCCCTTGAGGCTTGAGCTTGGATACTTCCTTCAAGGTCTTGACCTTGTCTTCAGCTGGAGAACTTCGTCCAAGGAGTTCAACAACTTAGTTCCATCTCCATTGAAGAGGATCCGTGCTTAGGAGGAGCTTAGGAGGAGCTAGTTCATCACTTCTCCTACTCTTTGTATCAACAACCAATTTGAATTTCAATCCAATTCCAATTTGTGCTCCTCTTGGAGTTCTTGACCTGCACAAAGAACAAACTAAATCTGGAAGTTAAAGGCCACCTCACAATGAACAAGGATTGATCATTCTTGTGAAAGTTGTTTAGGAGTTTTAAGAAGGAAAATGTTGAATGATTTCCAAAACCACCTAGCCTTAGAATTCTTGTCCTTCCTCTAGGTTTTCTTAGTCCATGTTTGCTCCTTTTGCAAAAGTTTGATGCAACTTCCAACCAAGAGTCCAAGGAGAAAAACAGAAAATGCACAATTAGGAAAGCTAAACTGGATAGGAAATAAGAATTGACAAACTCAAAGAATTCCAATCAAGACTAAAAGACTAAAAATTAAGACTCACCTAAAAGTTGGCACACAAAAAATTGAAAGTCCTATATTGGTTCTAGATTGGATTAACAAAACCAAAATCAAAGGAGAAATAGAATAGAATTAGAAGTAAAGAAATTCGGTTCACTTATAGTGGCACAAAACAATGTGTTAGGTTACTCCTTTGGCTTTTTCTACTTGAATCTTTTTTTTATTCTTTTTTTTAACTCTTTTCTTGAATTTCTTAAGGATTATTTTTCCTTTTTCCAAAAACTTTTCCAGCCACCAAAATTAAGAAATCAAATCCAGATTAAAACAAAAATTTCAGCTAAAAGTAGTTCAAGTTTTGTAGCAAAATTTGGGTGCACTTTCTAAGTCAAATTTTGCTTATTCAACTCAACACTTTTCAAATCTTGTTTGAACACTTTTGGTTATGTTTTTCCTCTGTTTTCAAGAACTTTTTCCAGATTTAGGATTTTCAAATCATGCACCAAAACATAACTACTACAATTAGCCAAAATTTATAGGAAATGGATCACAATTTTTTTTAAGAAGTTTCTCTTGGAATTTAAACAATACAAACAATGAAGACACAATGGAAACCTAACTCTAAGAATCCATAAATGAACTAATAATGGATATGAACTCAAAATTGCAAATCAAAAAGCACAATTACAAAGCACCACAATTATAACTCTCGGCCAAAGCAAATTCAAGTAGGATTAGATCAAAACAAAATAGGTTTAACTAAGCATATCTTGAATTGTTGACATTCAAATGACTACACATGACTTCTAGACAATTATAATATTCAAAAATGAAAATCACATGCAAAACTCAAAAGAATGACCGAATCAACACAAGATCAAGACTCAATCAAAAAGAAAAATGCACAAGTAGAAACCTAGACTTCTAGTGATTGTGGAATGAACACAAATACAATCACTCAATTGGATCTATCAAATTTTGAATAGAAAAAATTAGATCCAAACAACAAGAACAAGATAAGACAATTAAGAAAAGGATTGCTCACAAATGCTTGATCTAATTCCTATAAGAGCTCTAAGAAAACTTTCGGCCAAGGGTGACTTTGAAGGGAGAGAGTGCTGAATAATTTTCAGAATTCTCATATAATGATCAAAGTAAGTTTACAAGAGTGAGGAATGAAGCATTTAAAGCCACGGATCCAAGGCTTTGGCACCACACACATGTGCTCAAAAGTGGCGCCAATTTTGAATTCAAATTTTGAATTTGAATTCAAATTTGGTCGTCCACTTGACCACGCCATGTGCCACCATCCTTTCAAGAATCCTAATTTGCATTTGGAGTTAATGTAGGGTTCATTTAAGAGCTCACATGTGCCGCCCCTTTTGGCACATATCATGTGACTTAAATGAAACTCTAATTACTCCTAAATGTAATTAGCATTCCATGATTCATGCATAATACTTATTCCTTCTAAATTCCTATACTAATGTCCTAAATACAATGACCAAGTAAATACAATGGAAAGGAAAAATTACAAGAATGAAAATGAGCCTAATATTGAGTACCAAAAGCCCAAAGGCCCATGAAGCCCAAAACTAGGCCCAATAAGCCTAAAGCCCAAAAAGTTCTAAACTAAGGTCCATAATACAAGACCAAACAATATGAAATCCTATACTACCAAAGATATAATAAAGGTGGTCAATCATGTAAAGCCCAAGTGAAGAGAACCCTAGGCCCACAAAGCCCATTGGGCCCACTATGCTCTGAAGCAATCAACTCTTCTAGTAATCTTCTGGCCATATCTCTAGTGGTTGGACCCTTAGTCCATGCTCTTCCATCATCTCTTCGTAGTGAATTAGACATTGTGCTTCCAATATGTAAATTTGAAATACTATAATAAGCTAGAATAATTCTTATATAGACACAAACACAACAATTCAACCAATCAGTAAATTGTGCCTATCGGTAGGAAATTAAGATAGTATGCATAAGATTTTAAATTTGAATCATGTTTCTATAATATTTTATTTTTGATAAATACAATATGTTGTTTAAGTAAAAATTATATTATAGATTTAATTCATTTAATTAATTAAGTTTATAATTAAATAAAATTATTCTTAGTAAATAAAATAGAAAAAAGTAGGTAATGAGATAAGAAAGAAGTCTTGGGTTGGACTCTTAAGTCCATTCCAATATAAATAGAAGAATGTTGACTACCGAAAAATCTCACACCATCCTCACAGCATACTGACCAACAGAGCACTAAGGAACAATATTGACACTATACAAAAATTGGTATTCCTTGAACAGGTAATTTTTCTTAATTCTACCTTTGTTTTTTATTTTCTTTCCATCAATCATATACAAGTCATTGACACACTCACATTGTAATTCTTCATATTCACATTATCAAAATGAAATTGTAATTCTAACAAGAGAATACTAATATCCATACCTAAAGAATTGTAACTCTAGATTTTGTTATTATGAAAAATATTTATTGAGATAGTGGACAACATTATGCAACATAACTATTATATATATATATATATATATATATATATAATTGTTTATATATTTGAAATTTGAGAAAATATTTTTTATATATATATAGTTGATGATATATATATATATAAAATATTTTCTCAAATTACAAATATATCATCAATTATATATATATATATAGTTGTGATAATATTACTTTCATATTTTGCTATTTGCTTTTTAGGACTTCAATCTTCAAAGAAAGATTATATTTGATAAAAAAAGAAAAAAATATCATATTAAAATAAATAAGGATAAAATTTTTCAAGAAAATAAAGCCAGAAAAATTAGTTTCCAATATAAATAGAAGAATGTTGACTACCGAAAAATCTCACACCATCCTCACAGCATACTGACCAACAGAGCACTAAGGAACAATATTGACACTATACAAAAATTGGTATTCCTTGAACAGGTAATTTTTCTTAATTCTACCTTTGTTTTTTATTTTCTTTCCATCAATCATATACAAGTCATTGACACACTCACATTGTAATTCTTCATATTCACATTATCAAAATGAAATTGTAATTCTAACAAGAGAATACTAATATCCATACCTAAAGAATTGTAACTCTAGATTTTGTTATTATGAAAAATATTTATTGAGATAGTGGACAACATTATGCAACATAACTATGTGATGCAGTGAAAGAGAAAGAATGGCAAGTGGAGAAACATATTGGTGTTACACATGTAGACAACCAATCCAGGTTGTAGAAAGGGATGCTATTTGCCCTTATTGTAATCAAGGCTTGTTGCAACAATCTAATGAGCTACTAAGTGCCACAGAATCAAGAAATGCGCCTAGAGATGTTGTTGGTAACTTTATAAGTCGCCTACAGAGGGGAATATATTTAGATTTTGGTCATGGTTGTACTCTCTTTGTTCGACTACCAAGGCATCTTTGTACTTCAACTTCTAATGCTACCTCAATGAGTGACCTCATTGAACAACACAACAGAAATAGAGTGTCACAATCATGCATTGATGCAATACCAATTATTAAGATCACACAATCTGATTCACAATGTCCAATTTGCTTGGAAGAATTTGAAGTGGGTCATGAGGCCAAAAAAATGCCATGTGACCACATTTATCATTC